AATTTCTTGGCAGTGTTGTAGAAAATATAATAATTCTCTAAGTGTGGATGTTACGTAAGAATATATCAAAAACGTCTTTTATAATTCTTACGTCTTCTATATATTTCCATACTATTGAGAATATTTCATTAAAGATTATGGAAGAATCCCTGTGGTGACATTTCCTCATTTGACTATTTGTTTATGTGTTTTTAATATTTACGAATATGTTTTAAAAATACAATTCTATTTTGTTCTTTAATTATGGAGTTAAAATATCCTGGTTATTATTTAATAAAAAAAAATTGGTCTCTATACACAACAATATATATAGGTTAAATACTATATGTTAAATACTAATAAAAAACGGTAGAAGCGGAGTAATATATGTAAGTAAGTGAATACATCTTTATTCCAAGTGACTAAAATTATAAATTCTTTATTTGGAGTTTACTCTTTAAGAATCGATTTTCCTATAAAGCGCCCGGTATGAAAATATATGAAGACTAAAATTAAATGATTGAATGACCTCGTTACCTTTTTCTCTGTTATCTTTCACATGTGTGTGTATAACTTGTATACTTGTGTGCAGCCGAATTTAAGAAATAAACTCCAGTCGTGCGTCGGAAGTTCGAAACTGACACACACACACTTTTTTTTATGAACATTAACTCTTTTTTCCATAGTGATCTATATGTTAACATTGGTATTACTCTATGTACAAACAAATACAAATCCATTTTGTATCGAATATAGTTAATAGGTTAGACGGTAAGATAAATAAACATAATTATCAGTAAAAAGTTATAAATTTAAAAAATCCATTTCATTTTATTCACCTTCCTCTAGTAATCTATATATTAATACTATATAATCCAGTAAACTTCATTCCACCTTCAAATTTGTTTCTTGCTCCTGATCTCGTTAATCCGGCCCTGTCGCAAAATTCATTCTTAGCTGACGTGTGCTACCTACCTACTACCTCCCTGTCGAATATCAGGTCTTAAAGAGGTAAAGCTAAACACTTTATATAAACTAGAGAGAGCCTTAGACGACCTTAATTCGGCCCTATTCTTCATTGCCCAGTTTGAAGTACTTACTATTTTTTACCCTTCTATATAATTTTTTGATATAAAAGACTAATAAAAAATTGACACATGTCACATAAAGTCGTTGAATCCAAAACTAGGCAGACAGGCTTCTTAAAACAATGATCCCATCTCACTCATCACACAATTATTTTCCACAGCTTTGACTCAGCGAGTCGTATCAATATTGTGAGATTTGAACCGACATCGACTATTTTATGCCTATAAAAAGGCACGCAGCACAGGGCGCGCTCTCATGATTCGCTCGGACGTCGACGAAGCAACACCTCTCCGCAGCTCCCGAAGACTCACGAAGCCTGACGAAGTTGCCCGAAGCTGTTGCTGCCTGCACGGAACCGTTTTTCTTTGCCTCCCGGCCTTAGCCGAGTGTTCGCAGGAGACGTCCGCCCACCGATGCAGTGGCAAACAAGCACAACAGTGCTGATATAATTGTGGGTCGACCACAGCCCAATTTGGTTTTCAGCAGTGAATCTGTTGTGTTTGTTTGCAACCCCGTGTGACCCCTGCGCCGCCCGGCTCCGGCCGAGCGACAACCACAGACCTCCTAGGGCAGGCCGCGCGCTTTCTAGCGCCAGCTATGCCCAGGAGACGTGCCAATAACCCCAAGGAGGGTGACGCGGGCTCCCCTCGCGCTCCGCAGGCTCGAGCTGCACCTGCGCTCGCCAGCGTTGAGCATGAGGGTGAGCACCGCGCACCCATGCCCCAACCGGAAGCGCTCGCGCGTCGCCCCCGACAACGGGCCACTGCGCAACCGCGCGCCGCGAGTCGCGCTACTAGGTCGCCGGCACCGGCGACCTCGAGCGAGGACTCAACGCCGCGCACCCCAACCGAACGCCGCGGAGCCTCCCCGCGTCACCAAATGAAGGCCGAAACGAGACGTGAGATTCAGGAGTGGCTAGCCCGCCAGCGACTGCCAACACGAACGCCTCCGCTGTCCGCCTCCTCGCAGGCAATGGACACGGACGCCCCACCGCCACCTACCCCCACTCGTCGTCAGCACAGCCCCGAAGAGGAGCAGTGCGACGAAAGAAAGCGCCCCTGCCTCACCACCCGCGAGAGGTCCCCGCTGTATTCACAGCGTGACCCGCGGGTGGTAAGAAGGCAGCAACAGGAAGCAGAGCGACAGGTCGACACCTACGCGCAGGCCGCGAGGTCCCTGCCGCCCGCCGCTGCCCCCACCGTAGACACCGAAATGACCGCTGCCACCACAACCCAGGCGCCTAGACGCCGATACCCGCCGCTAATAGTGGAGCACCTCCCGAACTGGGCTACCCACATGAGGGAACTGAAAAGAAGCCTTGGCCGGGCGGCAAACGCCCGCCCCTTTGGTAGGGGGATACGCTTCTCCCCTAAAGATGACCAGGAGTTCCGGCTCGTCCAGCGCTACCTCACAGCGCTGGAGAAAAACGAGGGTATCTCCTGGTTCTCCTACTCCCTCCCGGAGGAGCGCAGCTTGAAGGTGGCCATCCGTGGCCTGCCGAGCAACGCGACGCCGGAAGAGGTGGAGCAGGAGCTCCGAGACCTGGGCTTCGACCCCGAGTATGTGCGTAACATACGGGGTCGTGGCGACCGTCCCGGGTGCATTCTCCTCGCCATCCTAAAGAGGACACCAAACCTGACACCGGGGATATACGACATCGACGAGATGTTAGGAATCCCCGGTGTGAAAATAGAAGCCTGGCGCGGGAAAAAGAGGCCCGCGCAATGCCACCGCTGCCAGCAGTTCAGGCACTCCAGCCACCACTGCCACCGCAGACAGGCGTGTGTGCGGTGCGGCGGTGAGCACCCCGCTGCGAACTGCCCCAGGCCTCTGCAGGAGCCCGCTACGTGCGCCAACTGCGGAGGAGAGCACCCGGCCAACAACACCCACTGCCCCGTCTTCCAACGCGAACAGCGTAACAGGAAGGCGGGAACGGTCGCCGTCACCGGGGAGTCGCGCCAAAGGCCGACACCGGTGAACCCACAGCCCACCGGGGAGAATGCGCAAGGGGCGTCGCTTATGGCGGCAGCGAACCCCGCACCTCCCCGAGCATCCACCTCTTCCAAGAGAAGGCGTAAGAAGAGGAGCGGCAAGAGGAGGACCGCAAACCCCGCTGCAGACACCCAGGTTGACAGCGTCGCGGAGAGACCGTCCGCCGGTCAGCCCGCCACCAACCCAGCTACTACCGAAGCCATCGTCCCCCGAAAAAGGGAGACAGAAAAGACCAAGCCGACCGCCTGCGCAAGCACCTACGGACCAGCAAACGCCCAAAGGGCAGAAGAGGATAGCAGCACAAAAGCTGTTATCCTTTTCACACTGGAGCTGCTCCAAGAGTTGTTGGCCGCCATGAGCCAGGATCAAAACAGAGACGCCGTCGCTCGCATCGCCACCAAGGGCGTAGCTGCCCTGATGGCCTGGGGGGCGTAGGCGCCCTGCTCCGCCAACACTTCGACATTCCTGTTGCTGCGGCCACCCCGCGGCTCGCGAGCACCTGTGCCTACTTGGCGCAAGTAGGCGCACCGTGTGTGGGCGCCGGTGGCCGCCGCAACAAATAACGAACAGCGCATTCCGCAGACCGCATAGCGGTGCGGACTGCCCCACATACCCCGGACGAGACACCAGAGGGTTGCAAGTAAGTCGCCGCCTCCGTCGCTGGTCGCTCGGAGCTGGGCCTCCCCAGGTACCGCCTGGGGTCTCACCTGGCTCGGGCTTGACCGCCGAGGCGGCGTGAAGACCGAAGCAACCCCGCCTTACCTGAACACGACACCACACTGCCAAAGCACCCCCACGACCTACTCCTATTTAGGAGCAGCGGAAGACACCGCTGGCAGGGGGCCACAGCCCCGATCCAGCCACCACGCGTCCCCTACGGGACGGTGTGAAGACTCGAGAGCGCGCTCTCATTTGGTTGTCAGACGTCGTAGAGTAAGGACCTACTTTGGTGTTCGGTGTCATCTGCATCGTGTTCATAGGACTCAGTACATAATTAATTTAATTGTGTTATTAGCGTTGTTACTATGAATATGTTCCAAATGTATTCAATTAATCAATCAAAGTACTTATGGCATACTGAAAGTTCTGGATTCTGATAAATAAGAATAGGTATAAGAATTACGATACATTTGTTTAAAAGCATATTCCCTCGCAACTAATGTATTTTTGCATTCGCTGAAACCACTGTACAAAGCAGTTCGAGCAGTCTTCCTTAAGGACTTTTTTAATGGCTTCATGGAACTAATTTACCGTCTTGTTGACTTAAGTCACAACGCACATGTTCACGAGTTAAATTTATTTTGATAGCGACACACAATTTTCGAAAGGACGTCACAATGAGAAAACAAAAGACAGTTTCTCAAATTATAAAAATAACATGTTCCCGAAGAGTTCCATTTTCGAATGCCATTATTGTTTTTTCATTATTTTATTGCAAGTGGCCAGATCCAGAGACTTTCAATACGCCCCACGTACGTAATACAACCTTAACCTATGAAACTGTGTGTATTTTGTTAAATTGTAATTACCACTGCTACTTAACAATATATATTATATAAAAAAAAAAGCAGTAACTGAAAAATAATTTTTGCACTTTTATGATATAGGAGAGCAGACGGATCAGCTGATGGGAAGTAACTACCATCACCCATGGACACCTGCAACTAGGAGTCGCAAGTGCATTGCCCCCTTTAAGTTAACCCTCCCCCTCAAAATTATGAGGAGAGGGGGCTTAGGGCAGTAACTCACTGACTCTATGAAAAGCAATGAAAAACTTATTTGACAGACGTAAAATCATATGAAGTAATAAAATAAATAAAGTTAGGCGAACAGTTGTGAGACAACTTAAACAAACCAATAAGTAAACCAAAGACGGCTACTTGCCAAATATGCCTTCAGCATCATATTCTTTCTCACAATAAAATAAAATCTCAAAATGTTCAAGTCCACTCACCGACGACGTCGAGTCTTAGAAAGATGCTAGTGGGGGGGTGTGATGACACTTGACACTCATAGATCCCGGCGTCGCGTTTCTGAACAAACCTCACTTTTAACGTCCAGTCCTGGAAAGAAAATTCATTTTAAAAGTTTGTACACAAATATTTGTCTTCTTAACTTTATGATAATAGAACGAATTTTATGTAGTTTCTATACGTATAATGTAACTGCCAGCTCATTAAGCTTTTTCCAATGTTTTTTGAAAGATTGCAGTGCTGCAGATTAAATGTGTAAACAAGCATACTGTGGTCACGGATTAAGTATACGAAGTGTTACCACCGCTATTTATCTCGTGGGTTTCGTAAGAGCCTACTAAAGGAATAAACTACGCAGGGCAACAGCACCTTGCTAAAGAGAGATCTATGTCCAGCACTGTACAAATTAAGACTATTGATGATGGTGGTGATATTCAAGCATATTTTTTTTAATGGTATAAGGTGTAATGGGAAGTGTGGTACTTGACATCGGTTTTCTGTAAGGTCCTGAAAACACTGCTCAAAAGCACTTCGTTCATACGGTTAAGAAGTATTGATGATTACACAAAGTGAATGCAATGTGGAGTGTCTTATGGGTACGCAATTTTATTTTAAATTGATTTTGACATGCATGCCCTTATTAATTTTTATATTGACGTTATTACTAATGTGAAAGTTAACGTAATACAACCAATTTATGATATTTTAAGAGTTAGATGTGTGTTAAAAGTAACGATAAGATTGACAATGCTAATTAAATATACTTTTACGCCTCTGGGCATAACATTGAGGATCTACCTATCTGTAGCATCTCCAATCCCGTTTCTGCATACGAGACTTACCCTTTTTTACGTGTGGAAACCCCCTCGAGCCGACATCCCACTGGGGTTTGCGGCGGGGTGGTGAATCGGAATTGAACCTACTAAAACCATACGGTGTGCCACTCTGCGCCTCAAATAACGAGGGATCCGAGAACTGCTATTATTAAAACATTAAGACATCCGAACCCCTCCTATACGAGACTTACCCTACACTAGCTCCCTCGCTCGATTCGCTTTACTAATCCTGATTATCTTTTTACTATTTCCGTCTGGAAAAGGAATATATTAATTCTAAAGAAGCTTCAGACAGGCGGCGGTTTAAAAGAAATCTGCTAAATGCAAATGAAATGTTACACACTTCGCTAAATTCAAAGAGATAGAATTGGAAAAAGAACAGCATTTCAAACGAGTACGTACTCGTATTTATAGAGAAGTAAGAGTATACACTGCATTTAAGTTTTTCCTAATCAACTCCTTCAAGAATATATCAAAGTCTTAATTAAAGCAGAACACACAGTGAGCTTGACCGTTGAAGACAAACAGTCTTCTGACTCTCGTAATTAAGGCGGAGTCGGTCCAGATGGTATTATAGTCCGCTTCAGTCCGACACGCAGTGTCATGAATAGTGTCGTTGAAGAACTCGCACACACAAAATGTCGCACGATTGACTGGAATGATACTATAAAGTCCAGTTGTTATTAATTTCTATTCGATGGCAGAAAGCCGTGTATATCACTTATAGAAACTGAAATAGTAACTAATGAGTTTTGTAGGCAAATGGCGTTTTAACATCTCTGCCTATTCTGGACAGGAATAAGGCGCAAGTATATATGTAACTAGTTGAACTGCTCAACTTCGGTAACTTAACAAACGGAATAAGTAAATTTTTTCCCGTTTTTTTCCAACATTTTTCATTGATTCTCAGCTCCTATTGGTCGTAGCGTGATATTTTATAGTCTGTGGCCTTTCTCGATGAATGGGCTATCCAACACTAAAAAAATGTTTTCAATTTGAATCAGTAGTTTCTGAGATTATACAAACAAACTCTTCGGCTTTACAATATGAGTATAGATAAAAGGACGCTTCCTAGCTTAGACCTAACACATCGATTTATCAATGGTAGTCACAACTCAATTTATCCCTTAATTCTTTATTGCTATGCTATATTTTTGTATATTGTATTATTTAATTGTTATGTAGAGTATACACAACCTTGCATTACATAAAAGTCCCTTATAAACCTAACTTTGTTGGTATTAATATAAGAGCGAATGTGAATTTGTGTGTTTGTTTGTTACGCTTCTGTTTATTATGACACAACAAGAGTTTTGTACCGTTGATAGAACCTTGAGTAATTTAAATGTGGACAGGGACGAATCCTCTTTTGAGCAAATATTTAGCGACCACGAAATGAGGTCGGACCCTAAACATTTTTGTTGACCAAAATTTGTATGTCCACAAAGAAATACATTCTAAAATGCTGTCAGAGATTCATATAAAGACATATATAAACATTTCCATGAGTTTTGTTGTTATTCGCAGTAAAATGGAATGTTAAAGTTACAACGGAAATTGTGTATACCTTTAATAAAAGTATATTTGTTCTGCAATGACCCAATAGGGTCAATCAAATTGACTAAGAAAACTGTATTCGAAATATCGAATACAGTTTTCTTAGTCAATTTGATTTCAATAAGGTAGAAAATTTCAAAGTTGCCGTCGTGTCACCCTTTTTTTTATGTCCTTCGTCCTATGTACCCTTTGGATACCATCCACCGGTGGTTATGTCGGACTCGAACCGACATAACCAGTTGCCGGGGAACCAGGTGTACCCTAGGAAGGCAATCCCTGATACCCCAACGTACCTCAGGCCATCAACGGCGTGTAAATGACCCCCTCCTGTGTGGGAACCCCTATGTCCACTTTACGCTCCCGAACTTTAGTTTAGTTTTTCTCTGAGAACGACTTTTTATATGGCATAAGGAGGCAAACGAGCAGACGGGTCATCTGATGGTAAGTCAAAAGTCACAAGTGCGTTGCTGCCCTTGGAGTCCCTCCCGCTGACTCGAGCGGGGATTTGGGCTCCGGTAACCTCACTTGCTCTGTGAAAGGCAACGAAAGAATTGCTTAACACCGGTTTTCTGTGAGGCCTGGTATCACTCCGGTTGAGCGGGCCCATTCGTGCCGAAGCATGGCTCTCCAACGGTAAAATTTAAGGACTTTATTTTGACGTGTTTAAATGGATCTTGATCTATTTATTTAGTACTGTTTGATTTTTTGAGATGATTTTTGGTCTTACATTGCCCAATATCAAATAAATATAGTGGTGCTAATTCTGTTGTTCAAAAACTCTCTAAACTAAACTAAAAATCACTAAAAATTTGTTTAGTTCTATCAAACAACGTTTTCTACTCTGAAAACGTAATATTTGACAGGACAAAAAAAATTCTTAGAGATTTTTAGTTTAGTTTAGAGAGTTTTCGAACAATAGAATTAGCACCATTGTCTTTTTATACAATTCCTAATGGATAGCCACTGTTCTTGATTCTTCTTGCGGTTTTAACCAAATTCACATAATCACTTTATTTTTATTTATATGACACCCTAATGCTGATCTGATGCGATGAAAGTAAGCTTATGGCCAAAAAAAGATAAATTTGCTTAAAACGAATATGTTATTTACAAAACGAATATTAAAATTAAAAAAAAAACAAAAACGGTCAACAGTATCGATTGTTTTAGAAGTCCTGTGTTATCGATAGTGATGCTTTCCAAAATTTCGTAATATCGATATCCCCTCGGATATCAGCCACCAGTAGGATGGCTATGTCGGACTCGAACCGACGAACAACCGCACGCAGTCTCGGATACTAGTAGCCGGGGAACCAGGTGTGTGGGAACCCCGATTTTGACTTAGGACTTTTTAAAAAGGAATGTACATATTGAAAAAAACTTAAAAAACCTAATATGTCTTATAGAAATGGGTGCTTTTGAAACAAATGTAATTGTTATTTATTTATTATTAAAAAACCACTCCCTCATTAGGAATATATCCTGTGTTGCGGGGGACGTTACAAACATACATGAAACGAACACAAAAAACACCCAAGCTCAGAACAACAATTTCTGGATCACACAAAGTGTCGTTCCATGTGGGGTTTGAACCCACAAGACTCGACGTAGTAGGAAGCGGCGTGGCGACCGCTTAAACCACTGTGCAGTCGTTGCAACGCAAAGGGATTCCCTGAATATTATAAAGAATTAATTATTGAAATGAGGAATATTCAAGAGCTGTTGCTATTATTAGCTGTCACATCTTTGACGAAAGTAGAAGTGTGTTCTACTTATATTGGATATATATTGTTTCTTGGTCTTATTCTCTGGGGTTTTGTAATCGAAAAAATCCGTATGTGCAGCTTATTTTCTTGAATAGGTAACAAAATTCCCAACTGACTTAGCACCAATTTCTTTTTTATAAACCCTTAGCTAACAGTTATTACTGTATGATTGATGTTATATAGTGGAGGTAATGGAAATAAGGTTTGTTTTAAAATTTTGATACTTTTGAGTACTTCAGTATAAAAATAAGTAGTAGAAGATTGCCAGCATGAGAAAATTCAATTGAAAAATTAAATTCTGATTTAGGAAGACGAAGTTTTAATGACACATTGTATAGTATTGTTTTAGTATCGCGGAGAGAGGTTCTTTATAAAGTTATACGTTTTAAACAAAAATTAGGTTTAGATAAACTATGTACTATTGTTTAGTATGTACTAGGTTTAACACCTGTATTTTAGAAATCAGTGCCCTCGTCGTATTAAGGACAGAACAGAAAGTGTGACATACATGCTACATTTTAGCAGTCTTGGAATCCTTGTTTAAAATCTCAATTTCCTTACCAGAACCCCCGGCACTATCAGTTATGCAAATATCTTCCAATATTTCCAGTATGCAAAGTCAGAAATAACTGGGAAGTAAGTTTTTTATCTATTACCTCGTGTAATACTTGAGATATATTCCAGGAATCCTTTGGGAAATTATCGCAAAGAGATCCAACAGTCTTGTAATAATATCGCTCCGTGATTATGGCAAAGAGCAGTTTGAAGAGTTCGAAAGATGCTGAAGTAACTGATATTTTTTATCTGTTCATAATTGAAGTTATTGCATAAGTTTTTAGAATTAATAATAAAGATATGGCATTTTATGTGTTTGTAAAGATTTTAATTTTATAAGTTAATTTAAATATATTATAATTTATATTCTTAAGATAGAGTTTATGTAAAAACTTTCTTTACGAGATGCATTTATTTATTAAATAGGTACATATATTTTGATTAAGATTAACTTAAAGCCAATGGGGTTCCCATTCGTTAGAATATAGATAAATTATTTTTAAAAACAAGTTGAACCGACTTCAAACAATACCTACTAACAAAGAGCACTAAAAACCTAGCAGAAATCTTGGTTGATTTGCTGTAATTTTTCTGTTCTGTTATCTGTCTCCGAAACTCATTATCAGATCTATATGAAATTTAAATGGGACTTTAACATTAATTTAAACTCCTTTCGAACAAAAAATATATTTTCAATTTCGTCTCTATATGACGGATTTATGTCTGAACATCCTTTAAAATAATATATACATCCGAATTGATAACCTCCTCCTTTTAGAAGTCGGCTAAAAATACAAAATATACATATATATAGACAGGCAAAGTTTTCATAGGCCATGAATTCCAAAATCTTAATACATCTGAAATATTTTCGCCTCTAGTTTTTATTAAACATGCAACAATAGTAAATAACAATAATGTGTAAATAATATTTATATGCAAAAGATATTTCTTTTAACAAACTTTGATTATTCACCTATTAATGAGTAATGACCCTGATTTATTAAACATATACTGTAAATATATTTTTTAAGACCGTATGATGATGGATTAAGAACACAGTGTCACCACCCTTTTCATCCCGTGGGTGTCGCAAGACAACAACACTGCAAAGAGAAGGAAAACTTGAAACAAAGCCTATACCAACTCGTCTGGCCAGCGTGGTATGGTATGCCAAAATCTCCTTTCTAAGAAGAGGCCTATGCCCATCAGTGGACTATTAAACATGTTGATGATGATGATAATATTTTTAAGGTTCTAGAGCTTGATAATGGAACCTCTAGCTATTATAAAACCTCCGCTATCCGTCCACCTGTCTATCAACAAACTGTATCGTCGTATTAGAATTAAAATTTTAAAGAAGATGCTTCAATGTGGTTCAAATAAAATTGAAGATAACTTCTTTACGTTGTTATGACAAGAAACGTAATATTGCTGACAGTTTCAGTTAACCTTGTACTGTAAGGAATCCTTCATATTGTGTGGCCATTCATGAACAGTTTTATTTTTTTATAGAATACCGTACAATATATCCTTACCTCTGAGTGCTGTAAGTGGATCGCCTGAAATCTCTGGTCAGAACTGTACGTTGTTAAGCCAACTGTTAGCAGGTGATAATCTTTTCTTCTGATCCATGACACCTAGAACAAAAAAGAGATTTATATTAAAATCAAAATTTAATTTAATCTGTTTTATTGGATTGACCTTATCCCGGTCACATATGCAAATAAGACAGAGCTTTACGCTCAGATTTATGAATTTAAAGACGGCATATTCTTTCCGTGTGGTGACGGATTAAGAATACAGAGTGTCACCACCTCTATTCATCTCGTGGGTGTCGTAAGAGCCGACTAAGGGAGAAAAATATGCAGAACAACAGCACTGCAGAGAGAAGGAAAATTTGACACAAACCCTATATCAACCCGTCTGGCCAGCGATGTATAGTAGGCCCAACACCTCCTTTCTAAGGAGAGGCTTATCACAGCTTATGGCTTCTGTCCCGCAGTGGACTATTAAAGGCACTTTTCATTGAGTGAGTGGAAAAACTGGTGTTGAACAATAGCTCAACACCAGTTTTCTGTGAGGCCGGTGTTAAGGAGTTCTTTCGTTGCTTTTTATAGAGCAAGTGAGGGTACCATAGGCCAAACCATTCCTCTGATTCTGAGGGGAGCGACTATTAGGACGGAAACGTGCTTGTGACTCTTGAGTCTTCGGGGAGTGGGCTCAAATGGTGGCAACGTACTTGTGATTCTTGAGTTTTTTGAGCATGAGGTATCTAAAAGCAGTAGCAGTCACTTATCATCAGGTGACCCGTCTGCTCGTTTGCCCAACTTTGCCACAAACCAAAAAAAACAGTGGCACACTGGGAGTGCCGACAGAAGTAAAAACTTATAAACTTATATACAGAGGGGTCGGTAACCATAACGGTAACAGTGGCGCGAGTTCAATTGCTTTGTCCTATCTCCAAATATGCCCAACGCGCCTAATGAAGTTTTCACTTCAACAGAGGTGTCGGTAACGGTAAAAGTGTCGCGAATTCAATGGTTTTTTCCCATCTCAAAAAAAATGCTTCTTGTTAAACCATAAAATATATTATTTGGTTTGTTGTTCAGAAATGCCCAACGCGCCAAAAGAAGTTTTCACTTCAAAAACTTCCACACACAAAACTGCAAGTATCAAATTATAACCTACAAATATGAACTTCAATTTAACTATTCTAAAACGAAATTCAATGCGCTGCACGAAGATATGAAATACTTCACACTTTGCTCTAACCGCACGATTTATGCTGTGTATGAGTTCACCACAAATTGCTACATTTTGTCAGCTAACGATGTAATATTTCGTTTCACAGTTTCCACTTCTTGTACAACAAAGTGTTACAAGTGTTACAAAGCAAACTAGGTTCGAAGTAATTTGGAGCATATTATGACCTGTTCCAAGAAGTGGTCGTAACCGCAACTGTTGTTAAGCAAGCTGTTATTTCATGCTGTTAAAGAGCTGTGCGGTGAAAGATATTATAGCATAGAACAGAATGACTTCACTGCATGCAATAGTTTAGACTATTATTCAACGTATCATAAAGTGTTTATATTGAAGTTTAAGTCAGAAGACACACAAGATATAAACACTTTATAACAACTTCTGAAATCAGTTCGAGTAATACTATTTATTAAAGATTTGCAGTACAGTTGTTCTAATAAAATTGTTTGCATTTTTTTTTTGCTTTATTATTATTATTATAAAATTATTAGTATCTTCTGAAATCAGAAATCAGTTCGAGTAATACTATTTATTAAAGATTTGCAGTATAGTTGTTCTAATAAAATTGTTTGCATTTTTTTTTGCTTTATTATTATTATTATAAAATTATTAGTATCTTCAGGTTTTATTTTATTAAAAAAAAATAGCAGTCTAACAGAATTAAGTCGGTTCTTCTAAATAAGTTCGGTGACTTATGCATGAAAACTAACACACCTAATAGAGAAACCGACTATTATTGAAGTATTTTTTGAGATGGAAAAAAATCATTGAACTCGCTACACTGTTACCGTTACCGACACCTCTGTATATAAGTCTACATATTTTGGCCCCGTTTACACGAGAGTCGAGTTTGGGTTGAAATACATTGATAATATAACTATATATATGTATATACATTTTTTGATTATTTATATGTATATTAAAAAAATATATGTTTTCAAGTTTTCACTTCTATCGGCACTGTCGAAGTGCCAATGTTTTTTTTAACATTTATATAAAGGAAGGTGTTTTTTATTATTATTAGCGACCATTTTAAAGTTAAAGAAGAAGTCATAAAAATTCTAAATGAATTTTTCTTCCTAAGCAGCATAAAAGATAAAAACTCAATAAATGACCGAACAAAGTATAGAGATATAACTTTTGACTGAAATACTACTCGTATAACTGCTGTTCAAGTGTAAAGTCAACAAATTTGTACAAACACAATGTTTGTTGACAACATTTTTCTCCCAGTATTAGTAAATATGCCGCTTATTTTCTACTGCCAGTATTCTTATAGAGGTACTATATTTCGTTTCAAAATTTTCCAATAAGAGAGTGCACATAGCGTATTAGGATTTACTCAAAGCAAACCCCTTGTTGAAAGCGTTCGAAGCGTCTTGGCACGTTAAAATAATTTGAAAAAGTAAAACTAACTTTGATCAGTAAAAGTAACGTTTCCATTGGTTTTGTTTAAACTTCTTGTTGTATATTTTACTATATTTCTAATATGTTATTATGATGCAATAGATGCCTTTAGAAAAACGGAGAATCAACTTGCAAGACAATGTTGTGTGACAAAGTCAGACCAACAAAACGAAGAAGATAAATTGAATTTACTCAAAGCAATAAATTCAAACTAACGACCAATAATCATCTAGCAACACTCACCCACCAGCTAATGCCGCACATGAAGCGGATTTACACCGTGTAATACTGCATAATGTGAGCTAATGAGCTCTTAATGAGATGTTAATGTGCATATCAGTCAAACTGACATGAAGGTTGTACTTCAGTTGATTTGACTTGTTCTGTTGCTTTAAATAGAATTTATTAATGCAGAAGATCCGATTCAGTGCGATGCCTGATACCGTTGCGATAGGACGTTTTTGTATCTTAAAAAAAAAACTCCTAGTTGTGTTTCTCCGAAAAACACATGAGAGCAAAACTGTTTTATTTTGAACAATATGAATGCAATTTTTATTTGAAAAAGATTGACATGGTAACGCCAAGATTAAGAATACGGAACGTCACTCCCCAATTCATCCCGTGGGTGTCGTAAGAGCCGACTAAGGGAGAAAACTACGCAGAACAACAGCACTGCAGAGAGAAGGAAAACTTAACACAAACCCTATACCAACCTGTCTGGCCAGCGTGGTGTAGTAGGCCAAAACCTCCTTTCTAAGGATAGGCCTACGTCCAGCACTGGACTATTAAAGGCTGATGATGTGTGATGATTATCGACAGACATTTTTGCTTTATTATTCCTGTTATTTTATGCCTACAAACATATCCAGTTCAAAATTTTATAAATTCCTAACTTAAAAAATATTAACTTTCAACAAACAAAATGAAAGCTTTGACGGGCGCTTCGATATAAGTTATTACTACAATTTGACACGTTGATGTTCGACGACATTACTTTTTTACAAAAAGAAGTTTAATTTATATTTATCACAGTTTCAAATTTCATTCTAAAAGCTTTTCTAAGATATTGTCTACGAGACTGAATAAATAAACATTACAACCGAGCTTAAGACAAAGAGAAAATTTGGCCATTTGTATGTTCTTTAATAATAGGTCTTTACCTATGAAATTGCCGTTTTGTATGCAATAAGTGAAAGTACTTATTTTTCAAACTTTTTTATTTCTGTTATTCGTAAGTAAGCACCTACCGACTATTACTTTTTCCAAAATTTAGACAACTTTTTAGTGGGTAAAAAATTCAATTCCCGAGAGGCAGTACAAAATGCCTTTGAAGAGTTTGTTGCATCTCGTCCAGCTGATTTTTACAAGAAGGGCATCAATAAACTGCCAATGCGTTGGCGAAGATGCGTCGATTGCATGGGTGATTACTTCGTTTTTACTGCGATTTTTGTCTGTCTGTCTGTCTGTTTGTTCCGGGTAATCTCTGGAACGGCTGGACTGATTTCGACGGGACTTTCACTGGCAGATAGCTGATGACGTAAGGAGTAACTTAGGCTACTTTTTTTAGACTAGCTTCGCCCCGCGGCGCGCGGTTATCACAACAACGGTTATAACACCGCGGGTCTCAGCTAGTCTATATCTATAAAAGAAAAAACTAACAGATTGATTCAATGACTGATCGATCAACGCACAGCTAAAACTTCTGGGTCAAGAAACATGAAATTCTGCCCAAATGTTCCTTAGGTGACGAAGGTGTGCACTAAGAAAGAATTTTAAAAAAATCCTAAGGGTGCAAAATGGGGGTTGGAAATTTACATTAAACTTGGTTATTTTTGGTAATAGCGCTTTCAAACTCACTGTAAATACTCTTTCTTAAAGGTAATAAAAACGTTATTATTATTTTTTCAAAATTACCCTTAAAAAGTTTGTTTGGGAAACTATTTGTTTCTTTAACTTATCTATTCCAAACCCTCAGTATAATTACTACGATGTCTGATGTCGACTACCACGCGGACGAAGTCGCGTGCAAAAGCTATTACTAAGATAAACCTATTCACATCACATCACATCAACCGCCTTTAATAGTCCATTGCTGTACATAGGCCTCTCTTTAGAAAAGAGGTTTTGGCTTAATATACCACGCTGGCCAGACCGGTTGGGATAGGGTTTGTTTCAAGTTTTCCTTCTCTTTGCAGTGCTATTCCCCTGCGTGTTTAGTTCCCTTAGTCGGCTCTTACGACCATTTATCATTAAATGCGAATTGAAGTCTCTAGCAACTCTCTTATTGACTTAAGCCACAAGGAAAATCATAAAAAATCATTGGACGAAAATATTCACGAGTTAAATTTATTTTGATAGTTACACAAAATTTTCGAAAGGACGTCACAATGAAAAATTAAAAAGTAACATGTTCCCAAAGAGTTCCATATTCGAATTCCATAATTGTTTTTTCATTCTTTTGTTGTAAGTG